GCTTATATTTCACCTGGAGATTAACTTGCTTACTGACTGTTCAAGTGGTAGGCCTCATCAGTGCAATTTTTTTTATTCATTGATGGGATGTGAGCATCACTGGCTGGGCCTTTATTGTCCGTCCCTAGATCCCCTTGAAAAGGTCGTGGTGCGCTGCCTTCTTGAAGCATTGCAGTCCATATGCTGTTGGTTGACCTACAGTGCCCTTAGAGATGGAATTCCAGAATTTTGATCCAGTGACAGTGAAGGAACAGTGATGTATTTCCAAGTCAGGATGGTGAGTGACTTGGAAGAGAACTTGGAGGTGGTGGTTATCCCATACATCTGCTGCTGTTGTCCTTCTACACAGAAGTGGTCGTGAGTTTGGCAGGTGTTGTCTGAGGATCTTTGACAAATTTCTGCAGTCCATCTTGTAGATAGTACACACTGCTGCTACTGAGCGTCGATGGTGGAGGGAGTGGATGCTTGTGGATGTGGTGCCAAATAAATGGGCTTGGTTTCTCCTGGTTGGTGCTGCAAATGCTTCAGCCTTTTCTTTTGCACTGATGTGCTGTGTTCTTCCATCATTGAGGACAGGGAAATTTGTGGAACCTCCTCCTTCAGTGAGTTTTTTTAATTGTCCATCACCATTCCTGACTGGATGTGGCAGAACTGCAGAGCTTAGATTTGACCCGCTGGCTGTGGGATTGCTTACCTCTGTCTATCACTTGCTGCTTACACTGTTTGGCGTGCAAATCGTCCTGTTTGGTAGCTTCACCAGGTTGACTCCTCATTTTTGGCTATGCCTGGTGCTGCTCCTGGCATGTCCTACTGCACTGTCTGCACCAGGGTCAATCCCCTGGCTTGATGGTAATGGTTGAATGGGAGATATGCTGGGCCATGAGTTTGCAGATTGTGCTGGAGTACAATTCTGCTGCTGTTGATGACTCACAGAGCCTCATGGATGCTCAGTCTTGAGTTTCTAGATCTGTTCGACGTCTGTCCCATTTTGTATAGTGGTAGTGCCACGCAACACGGTGGAGGTTATTCTCAGTGTGAAGATGGGACTTCATCTCCACAGGCACTGTATGTGGTCACTGTTACCAATACTGTCACAGACAGATGCATCTGCACCTGGCAGATTGATGAGGATGAACTGAAGTATGTTTTTCCCTCTCATTGGTTCCCTTCCCACCTGCTGCAGACCCAGCCTTGCAGCTATGTCCTGTAGGACCCGACCAGCTCGATCAGTAGTACTGCTGCCGAGCCACTCTTGGTGGTAGATATTAAAATCCGCTACTCGGAATACACTTTGCACCCTTACCACCCTCAGTTCTTCTTCCCAGTGTTGCTCAACATGGAGTAGCAGCAATTCATCAGCCCAGCGAGGATAGTATGTGGTAATCAGCAGGACATTTCCTTGCTCATGTTTAAGCTAAAGCCATCAGACTTCGTGGGGTCCACTGTCAATGTTAAGGACTCCCAGATCAACTCTTGCCCAACTATGCACCACAGAGCTGCCACCCTTTCTGGGTCTGTCCTGCTGGTGGGATCGGACGTATTCAGGGATAGTAGTGGTGGTGTCTGTGACATTGTCTGTCAAGTATGATTCTGTGAGTATGATTATGTCATGCTGTTGCATGACCAGTCTGTGAGACAGCTCTCCCAGTTTTCACACCAGTTCTGTGATGTTAGTAAGGAGGCCCTTTCAGGGTTGACAGGGCTGTTTCTGATGTTATCTTTTCTGGTACCCACGCCCATGCCAGGTGATCCGTCCGGTTTCATTTCTTTGTTGAGACCTTGTATTGGTTGATACAAACAAGCTGTTTCTTGGCCACTTTCAGAGGGCAATTGAGAGTCAACCACATTGCTGTGGGTCTGGAATAACATGTAGGCCAGACCAAGTGAGGATGTCAGATTTCATTCCCTGAAGGACATTAGTGATCCCAGATGGGTTTTTCCAACATCCGACAGTGATTTCATAATCATCATTAATTAGATTCTTAATTCCAGACATTTTTTATTGAACTGAAATTCCACCACTTGCAGTAGTGATATTCGAATCTGGGTCCCTAGAACATTAGCTGAGTTTCTGAATTCATAGTCTAGCGATAGTACAACTAGGCCATCACCCTGTGTTTTGCACCTCTATACATCACATCATGGTTAAATGGTTAAGGGTGTAATAATCAATTGCTCATCAGGAATTGATTAACTCCATAGGTTTACTTACTTAAAACAGTAAAACGCATTATAAGTTATAAAACAGACATTACAACAAAGCAGCTGATATGTGTGTATGTAAGCTTGCAGACACATAACACACTAACAGTTTGATAGTCTTAATATTGCAAATACACAGCACATGGAGTCTTTGGTGGCAAACTTTCTTCAAGGCAAGGTATGCACACTGTAATAAGTTGGTTGTAAGTAATTTTTGTTGATGTTGTTCTGCTTGTTCACTTTCTTCATCAGCTCTTGTTGAACAAGCCCTGCTGTCCTTTAGTCTCACTTTCTGCAAGACTGAAGTCCAGTGACCTTTCTTCAGAATGCCTCTGAGTTCTAAAGAACGATCACTAGACTCAAAACATTAACTCTGTATTCTCTCGGTCAGTCCTGCTGAATTTCAGCAGCAATTTCTGTTTTTGTTTGTTTCAAATGTAGAATCATACTTAGCTTTACAGATAGCAGTAAGGCAGGTACCGCCAGATTTTGTCTCATTATCTTACTGCAGTAAGTAGCTCTGGGCAGTTACAGTTCCTCAGTTCCATCTGAAGTGTAGCTTCTCTTGTTGAATTTTGGTTCTTTCCTCACTGTCTTGTAGGTTGTTTTGACTGTGTACTGGCTGTGCTGATCCTTGATGCCACTTTTGCACTTCCTTCTCCCCGACAACGCTTTTAGTTTTGTCAGCATCTATGCCATTCTCCAGAATTCCTCACAGACAGCAGGAACTTCTAGAAGTCATCAGATTTGGGAAATTTCCTCCCTCCCTGCTTTCAACCAGCCATTTGTAACATGGAATAAACCAATGAACTGCGGATGCTGAAGATCTGAAATAAAAACAGAAATTGCTAGCAAAATTCAGCAGGTCTGGTGGCATCTGTGGAGAGAAAGCAGAGTCAATGTTTCAAATCGGGTGACTCTTCATCAGAGCAGTGTGTAACAACCTGGCTTCTTTCCACCTAGACTCCCTAATTTAACAAGTTTCAGGTATGTTCCTGTTTAACTTGCACTCCAGAGATGTCACCAATCAGAACTTTATCCAAAATGTCACATCCAGCGATGCCTGTGCAAAAAACAGCTGTAAGCAGACTGATGTTATTTTAAGACTACAGTTTTGCTGTAAACGCTAGATATGATCAGTCCCAGCAACTGAGTAGCTTTGGTAGAGGAGAAAAAAAATTCAAAACATGTGCTTTGTTCTAACATGCTAGTTTTCTTTGTATTCCCACTTTTTTAATTGCAAATTTCTAACGCTCTTCATGTTATCGGTAAAAGAACATTTTTATCATGAAATCAGGGTCAAAAGCTAGAGTGCAAGATGCCATCAAGGAGCGAAGGCATATAAAATAAAAAGCAAAATACTGTGGATGCTGGAAACCTGAAAGAAAAGCAGAAAGTCCTGGAGAGGCTCAGCAGGTCTATCTGGTTCTGTGAAGTGAAAAAGAGTTAATGTTTCGAATCCATTTAGACTCTTCTTCAGGTCAGGTATAATATACTTTGCAAAACAGATATACAAAGTATCTAAAATTGTGAATTAAAGCATGGGTCTAGAGTAATGTGTAAACTTCTGAATATCAGTTCAAAGGAAGTTAAAATTAGTGTTGAGAAGTAGAAAGGTAAACAGCAAAATGTATCAGAAATGTGAGTTGGTTTTCTTCTCTTTGTCACTTGAAATAATGATCAGCTCTCTTTCAGAACATCCCTAATATTATTTTTAAAAGGGATCAGGATTGTTGTTTATAATTATTTTATGTTGTTCTGTTTTGAGATTTTATTAATGCAGCAAATGCATGGGTTTTAGAGAATGGCTCATTAGTATTTATATTATTGCTTGCAAAGCAAAATAGTTCACTCAATTTTTCAGACATAGTATGGCACTAATTTCAGCACAGTAGGCAGAGTTGAAGCTGTTGGCTTTAAGGGTTGTCTAATATTGAATACTGGTGACATGATGGGCTTCTTCTAGCATGAAGACCTTGAGATAACTGGTCATCTTTATTTTGTTTGCGTTGTCCAGTTAATTTGATGTCACAGAAGTGGGAAGTTGACTCGTCTTTAGGTAATGGTGAGCTGCCATGCAGAGAGTATACATTTCGAATTTCTTGGTACATGGTCGAAAAGCAAGAAAGTTCCATTAGAATTCAATTTGATGCTGTATGCTAATAGTCTTTCCTGCTTCCCAAGTTTGTTTTATACCCTTGAATTAGAGAAAGCTTGCCTTTCCTTTTACAGCTGTTGAACAAAGTATAGTAAATACTGACAAACACAAATGTGCTTTTATCCTGTATCTATAACTTCGTGGTATCTCACAAAAGCCTTAACAAGTGATCAATAAGTTTTGAAATGGAATCTGTAAGCAATCTTGTTGCTTATACATATAAACTTTTCTTTCATTTGTGGCACTTTGAGCTGTTTCAACCCTGGCACAAAGATAGAAGTTGATAAAGCTATTAGTGATAGAGGATTTCAACTAATTTAATCAAATTTGCTAATATGATTTCAAGAGGTTTAAAGTAAAATCCAAGAGCGGAGGAGGGAGTTGGGGAAGGTAGTATACTCAAGCAATGAAAAGTTGCACATATTGTGTAATATGTGCAATGATTCATGGAAATGCTGAAAGTCACCATTCCAGATTGGGACTCTCAAGGGATCTTAAAAACATGTAACAATAAAACCAAGAGTGATAATGACAATGTCAAAGAAATGTGGTTAAATGCTGCCTGAGCTTAAAAGATAAATGATTTCACTTTCACAGAAGATATCATGGTGAATTTGTTTGTTTTTCTCCCTGGCAACAGGAGGATGATTCCGAATGCGGCAGTGGCTCTCGTCTGAGCCCATCCTTATGGTCAATGATAGGGATTCAGCTAGTTCTGCTCTGGCTACTAAGTAGTGCCAGACATTATCCATCATGACTGCAGAGAACAGACAGCCATCTCCGCTTTCTAGACCCACCATACTGTAGCCCTGGCTTAAACTAGGGAATTTTTCTCCCCAGGCAGTAGAAGACTGACCATTTCCATATCCTGGTGTATCACTGTGTCAAAGATTCATTGTTGACTCTCCATACGAAGAATGGTCAAGGTGCTCCATTGACAAGTTTTTTTTTAAATGGAAAATGTTAAGTCATACAATGGTAGCAAACTGGATTGTCAGTACCGAAACCTGCCAGGCAACTATGGGAATGCTGATACATTTATACAATGAAACAATTCATAAAAAAAATCTAGATTTATTTATCATTAGGTTCATATTTTGTTAAGCTTACTTTGATCAAGATAAAAGGTTATTCTTTATTTATGGCTTACATTGGCTGACTAGCTAATTTTAAAACAACTTACACGGGCTAGTGACATACAGGCACAATCAGCTGTCCTATTGGTATAAGGCCAGAAAGCTTAAACATGACCATGTTGGGTACCAACTAGTAATTGCAATCTTTTTAAGGTTTTGATACACCAAAGTCCACTGATTATTCTGTGGCTGTGCAATTATTGTTAGCTATTCTGTTACCAAAGGATGCCTGTAACCCTCTCGTTCCCCCTCATTAAGCCATATCTCTATGCCTGATGCCCTTCATGTTTGCTGAAGCAAATGCATAATGATTGTTGTATCCCACACAAGGAATAGTGCTAAGGCTTGTGAATGAAAAAGCTGTTGTTGTGGCGACTGAGTTTTGGACACTGATGCTTTTTTTTTGCATGAAGATGCTGCTACTATTTTCTCATTCAGTTTTACTGTAGGAGTGTTGTTAATGTGCAAGAGCAACTGAGTGAACCAAATGTTGTTGATGTGAAATTTAGATAATATGATGTAATATAACTGTTTCACTTATAACAACTAAATGTTGTCAAACATACCTCTTTCAAAGTGCAGTGAGCAGGCTGAAAAGATGGGAATTTTACACATAGGCGATTTCAAGATTTAGATTTTGTTTTCAATAGTTGGGATCAAGCCAAGGGCCCCCATTACTACTGTATCACAATCTACTGCTGTGCAATTTCTGTAATATAAGAATAATAGGACTTGTATATGGCATTTTGTTGAATTACAAGAAAATTCCCAAAGTGTTTGAAAGGCAGCAAAATAATTTGAATTCAAGCTGAAATTTAGTAGATAATTGATTCTATGGGAAAATTATATAACATGATCCCTGATAATTAAATATAGGGAATTAAATTTTACATTACAATAAAGTAGGAATTTTATTTATTAAAAATTGTGATGTGATACCAGGCAATCCAAAACATTATATGCCAACAAAATAGAAAAAGTGTGCATTTTAGTTGAACAGTGTTTTGAGGTCATACACAACAACTTTCACTTCATTTATCTTTCAGCCTGTCTTAGTGCACAATATTTATTGATTATACAGTCATCTTTTTGTTTAACTTTAAGAGAATCATTCTCTGGTCTCCAGTCAAAAATGGATGTAACTGAAATGTATTTAAATTGAAGTGCATGCTTTATCAATATCGGCCATCTGGGGGTAAAGAGAGGGGACGTTTTCCTAAAAAACACAGTTAAAATTACTAAAGAAGTTAAACTGCATCAGTAAAAGAGATGAAGATGGCAATAGGTCATTAAATGCTATGGTTATCTCAGCCATCTACTTTCATTCAAAAAGAGAAATACACCAGTAAGTTTGCATGATCAGTTCAGTATTTTGACAAATATAAGCAATGAGATGTTAAATATGTGGAAACAGTATTTAGAATGTTTTGGACAAGTTAAGGAGGGTTTTATTGTGTGACTGATATCTTTTTGAGTGAGGATTTCAGTTGAGAGTCTGTCAGTTGTAGTCCCAAATTCAGTGGATTCTACAGCTTTTGTATCAGTGACCCTTTTGCTGGCAGGATTTTAGTTGTTGGCTTTTATTGATGCAGTATCAGATTAACAAGCAATTTCATCCACCTTTGGGGCCCAGGCCAGGAACTTTGTCCATTGCATTATTGAATAGGAAGTGCCCTGTGCTGTGACCTGGAGATTTGCCATTACAACAGCAGACATTTGATTTGTGGGTTTGCCAAAGTGATGCTGTGGCATGTGACCAATGCATTGTCTCACAATCATTTTGTCCTTGTGAGAAGCGAGTCCACATTCAAGAACCTTTCAGAAATTGAAACACTTGGAGAATTATTCCCCCTTTGATAGTATATAAAACAATGCAAGTTCATCAGTGGACTATAGATGCTATTCTACTTGTAACTTCACCAAGTCATCCCAAAGGGCAAACCACTTGTACATTAATGAACTATCTCATGCCTGACCAGGCAGTATTATCCTCAGTTCACAGATCTAATGAGTGCTTTTGCTGAAAATATAACACTGATGCAGAACCCACCAGCAAACCACCAGTATATCACAAACAGCAAGTACAAACAACAAATAAAAATATCCCCACTTTATTATTTATTACTCCTCTTTACTCCTTCTAACATTTATAATTCCCCGATAGATAACTCAGGCAGTTCCTTCTCTCTGAGGATACCACTTTGTAACAGCCATCAACACGTAAGCGTTCTGGGTTAATTCCCCCTCCCATTTTCTTCCTGCCACAATGAAGTTGATGCTGTTCTTAAGTGTGTACGGTTCAGTGCAAATATTCCTTCTGAAATAATTGGAATTAATGAAAGACCATAGGTAGCATGCTCCGATTTAAGTGCTATCCTGGTACAGTTGACTGTCTGTGTAAAGCGGCCAACTTGCTGGCAACTTGGGCTTGCAGATGAACTATAAAGAGAGAGCTGTGGGAGAAACTATGGTGTAGCATTAACTTTATTGCATCTAGCTATGAATACTTATGAATAATATTTTATGTAGAAAATCATTTTTAGCAAGGAGCTTGCATCCTGTTTTTTAATCTTGGTGTCACAATTCAGAGATGATGTCATAAATATTTTGATTTAAAAAATAATGCGGTTTTCTCTTTTTTTTCCAAGTTACCATATTAAGTTTGGTTTGTACATAAATATGAGGAAGCTCTACTGAAAATCTTACAATCTATGGAGAAATATTCAAATTTCTATGATTCTTTTTCTATTGAATAATGTGCATTCTGTGACTGGAAATCATGTATATCATACTGCGCTGAAAACTGAGCCAGTTTGATTTTAAGGTTCTGAGAAACCACTCCTACTCATAAATTTGAAGAATTGAACTGAGTACATTTTTGCAAAAAGTATTTTCCCACCATGCAGTCGGACCATCTTCTGCTCATTAATACTTATTCATATGTTTATTGCCAAATGGAAGTTCACAAAGATAAAGGAAATGGTTAATAATGTTATTGCCAACCTTAAGTCATATGGATTTTCTTAAGGAGTTGACTACTTTGGGATTAGCATTTACTTATCACTTTCAAGAAACCTAATTGGTATACTCTGCTAAATTTCAAAAAAGAGTGGAAAATATAAAACTAGGCTGCTTCCAGCCCTCCCTCACTCACAATTTGTCAATTGTATAGAATTTTGTTATTACATTTGGCCTGATTATAGTTACTATAATGAAATATTTGATTGTAGATGCCTTTGCAGAAAATAATGAGTGGTTTGATTTTTGCTTTTATCATATTACTTGTTTTGAAATAGATTTGATGAAATGGATTGATAGATATACTTTCTATCAGTCCTTGATGGCTATAATCTAGACAGTTAATTGAATCCAGCCAAAATCCTGATGTTAAGAAACTGAATTGCTATGTGCTAAAGATATTGCTTCACAGCCATTGTAATAGTTATGCTGATACTGTAATCCTCTGAACTCCAATCAGAATGAATGTACAGATCATTACAGATATTGGATAGTCAACCTGTGAAGACAAAAGGATTGCTCAATACAAATGTGCAGCACTTAAATGGGTTGGATGCAATAATTCTGATCGGTTGTGAATGGTTCAAATTCAGTAAAATAATTATTTTCCTTTTCACAGAATAGTACTGAGAACATACATTTATCATCGTGAGTTTTTGTTTTCCTTTTCATTATCAAGATGATAGGTGTTTTCCTGATGTCTTTATTCTGCTTTCCTGTTCGAGGAAACATATTAACATCAGTCGAATTTTTAGTGATGGAATCAGCTAACGAGCGGCAACCTATCAGCGTAACAATTTCTCTGGCATTGGGACAACATTTGAGTCCCAGTCCTGATGATATCCAAGTCCCATATGACTGTGTGAAGTTTGTCTGGGGATCCTTGAACAATCAGGGTTGGCAGGTGTGTTCTGTGGGTGGGAGAGCCAGTCAGAGTGTCTCCAGTTATGGATGGTAGTCAGTTTCACTGGGAGAAGTGGGTGCTACCACTTTAGGTAGAACACTGCAACCACCCTCTGGAAACTTCAAACAATAGTTACAATCTGCTTGGCCACAGCTGTCAAGCCATCTCCATGCAGCAGGAATTGTAAATATTGAGAGCTTTTAGTTCTGGAGTGGAGGGAGTTAGGGAATTAAATGAGATTTGACTGGCCTCTTGGATTGGCATTTCCAACTCTCTCTTGGGGTTCAGTGTCAGTGGAATGGTCGGGGGCCAGGATGAGCTAGGGATGGGAGCAGGTGCTGTCCATGCTTGAAAGATCCTAGTGGTGTTACCAATCTTCTCTGCCTGGGCATTTTAATTGCCATTTATTTGCTACTATTGCGATTGTCAGTGCTAATCCGACACTGCCTTCTCTATGATCACTTGGGAGATGGGAAATTTCAAACATTGTCTCTTATCCTGCCTCTTCCAAGCCACCTCCATGTGTCTAATATGATTACACCCACTATCTTCACCTACACTGTCATCAAGGTGAAATAAAACTCACTAAATAATTGAACAGTGTACACCGTTCCCCTTGTTCCTCCAAGTGCTAGTGACTTTTCCAACATTACAATTTTTCAATGCAACATTCAATTCTTTCCAAACCTCAGAAGCTTGAAGATGTGCTATTGGGACACCTGCACACAACTGAACCTTCAATTAAGTTGTAACTGATGCAATGCTAAGATAACATAAGGCAGTCCCTTTGAAATGGTCCCGCACCTGATGGCAAACAATAAATATAAAATAAAAGACCTGGTGCTCCTCTGGAAATGTCTAGTTTAATATGAAAATAAACCAATGTGTTTGTGTATAGGATGTCTCTGAGGAGAATAAAGAAGTTGTTTATTGCTGAGTGTTGCCTCCTTTAAGAATCCTATCATGATGCTTAATCTTTGTTCTTTGGATTCATTCAGCTAATCATAAATGTTTCATTTTAAAGCTTACACATAGTCGTAGAGTCATACAGCATGGAAACAGACCCTTCAGTCCAACCTGTCTAAGCCAAACATAATCCCAAACTAAACTAGTCCCATCTGCCTGCTCCTGGCCCGAACCTTTCCTATTAATTACTTACCTAAGTGTTTTTTAAACATGATAACTGTGCCCACATCCACCACTTTCTTGGGAAGTTCGTTCCATGGTGGATATCTTGATCTAAATAAATTTGAAACTGTACATTTTTTAGTGTGTTTTATATACATGTCTCAGTATGTCATGACGCTGCACCAATTTAGTTATGTAGGAGATCAATGATTCTTCCAAGTAAATTCCGAACATTTTCCTGAATAGGAGCAAAGTGAGCCAGTTAGTCTTCATATATTACAGATTGATCAATCTTACCAAATCATGAATATTTACCTCAATTTAACTTCAATATATCAACAATATACTGAAGTGTTGGATTTTTTTACAATTGTAAAGCGAATAATGAAGCACCCAATTACAGCACCTACTCCCACCCCTGGTTCATTCTGTTCATTGTGCAGGTTAGGAATTTCAGACTTTGAAAGTGCAAATTGGTTTTGATTTTTAGATCATACAGTTTAGATTATGACCCTTCCACTCTGCTAAAGATAAAAATGTTTGCTTTTCCTGGTAATAATTTTCCATTTAGCTTCTAATATTTTTGTTTTGTCTTTTCTTTTGAATCCACATTTATCAGTGTCCTTAAATGTTGATATGTTCAGTTGTACTGAACATTTCCTTTCATCTGTGAAATTTCATTAGATGGATGACACCAGAAATAACAAGAATTTATATTATGATTGATTTTCCGGCAATGAAAAGGGTCCCTTTAAGGTGCCACGCTCCTCATACTTACAGCAACCTATTGCAGGAACACACTTGAGGAAATACCAAGTGCTGCTTTTACTTTTAAATTGGCTTTGGCTTAAAGTTTAGTTTCAGAATCGAATTTAATTGCAGCTGCAGCCAAATTTGACCTCGAGTTACCTAGTAGTTTTTAGGTACTTCTTTCATTCTGCTAAAAATAATTAAAGGATTAATGCTGCTTCAGGTTCTTCTACTGTAACGTGAAATGCTTAGTAACTAACCCTTTGAGATAAAGTGTTCATCCAATTACCAATTCATTTTTCACATTTATTTTAATCAGGTAGGCTAAATACCTTGTCAAAGATTTAAACTGACTCTCACACACATGAGAAGGCTCTTCAAGTTGCTTTGTTTCAATGGCTAATCAACATTTTTGTAAAGAAATATTTCTTACCATCTGAAATTTTAGAACACGAATCTTGTTCTACTGCCGTAGCATGTCTATGAACTTAAAGGAAAAAGCCAATAGGAGAAACCAGATGTTGTTCAAGGCTGGATAATTCAATTTTAGCTGAGCAACATGATCCTCCAAGTTCTCACCTCCTGGAGGCAAGTATTCACCTAGGAAAGACAACTTTAAAAAAAAATCCTAGATCAAATTAAAGGGGTTGGGGGGAATGTAGTCAGACCGAGTTGCAGGAGGCCATGCTGTTGCTGGGAAACATCGTGAAAATCTCACTAACCTTTACTATGCTTGGATATCCACTACAGTCACAACGTCTGGGTCTCTTTTGAACACTTGCAGTGAATCGATATTCATTGCATTATTAGTAATCCGTTTCAAAGTGTGATTCCCAAGCATTCCAACATTCTTTGCTTAGATAAATATTGCACATCTCCTGGTTCTCCATAGCTGTAAAATGCATATATTCTATTCTTGTGGATACATCCTCAACCCTTCTTTATTTTAAATATCTCAATCAAATCTCTCTGAAGTCCTAGTCTTTTTTTTTAAGTATAAGAAGTGCCAGTTCTCTAACCTTATCATGCTAAGTATGGGTTTATAAGCTAGGTTTCAAGCCAATGGCTCTTTTCTGATCTTTTATCAGCACTTCCATATCATCCACCAAATAAGAAATCTAAAACTGAACACAGTATTCTGATTGAGGCCAAAACAAGATCTTGTGAGATGATGTTAATGCTTTTAGTTTCTACTGAATTGATCCATAATCCCACAAATCTTTATCCTATAGGGCAGTCTTTTGTCTAGCACCTTGTTAAAACACTTTTGTTTGAATACCAAACAATTTCAATGTCCAGCAGCCTACCATCTTCCTCAGGAAATTGAACCAGGTTAATGAGATATGACTTCCTTTGCCTGACGTAAAATTGAGAATATCTACCAACCCTTGTTCTGTTCATGTGATCATACAGCATCTTGTTAATTTTTCCTTTTAAAAATTAATCTGTAACTTTGTGAGTTGTTGTGTTTTTTTTTAATATTGGCACAACATGAGCCAGCCTTGAATCCACAGGCACAAAAACCCTAACTCTTGTGTCGAAACATTGCATACACAAGTGACACATTTAATACCACATAAAGTATTGTAAAGATTTCCATTATCTATCCTAAGTATATAAAATACTGGAACTTCTCCTCTGAATTTTCTTTGTTCAAAGTTGAAAAATCCAATTTAAAAAGTTGTTCTATTTAGCCTTTAGAATTGGGAATCAACCTTGTTGGCAAAGTCAGCATTATCTCAAGGGATTGGATGATCCTCCTGTACCTTGTCAAACAGACTGGACTATACTCTCAAGCAATGCCTGAATTTATAACTCTACAACTATAGCATGAATTCTAGAGATTTGAACTGACAATAAAACCTAAATATTTTTGATTCCAAACTCAATGTATGAATTAATATTGCATAAAGCCTGAAAAAAGTGTTTATTTCACTAAGTACAAAAATCGAACTGTGAATAGGAAATTAAATCGACAGTGATTATTTTACTGATTATTCATTCAAAAGATGAGATTTATGACTCTTTGGGAGAGGGGCGGGGGAGAAATTAACAAAATTGTTGCGTCCATAACAGTACTAGTTAGTGGACAGTTTGATTTAAATACTTTCAATGAAGCAGCTTTAGTTATGATCAAGCTGTGAATGTTCAAAGTCTCCGTTACGCATTGAATTTGATGCTGGTTTATTTTTAAAGCTTAAGCTGGTAGATAAATTGGTGAAGAGCATTGCTGTCAATCGTGTGTGTTTGTATGGGGTTTATATAGCTTTTTTCAAAATCATCTAGCCCTGTAGCCTTACTGGGTTGCAAGTTGCAAAGCTGTTTTACAATGTGAATGAAGGGAATTGTGCTGTTGTTGACCATAGTACAAGTGTCCAGATCCTGCTTTAATGGATTGTTTTCTTAATGGTCGCAGATGGTTCAATGTGTGTTCTTGCAGAAGGTTCTCGCTGCTCTTTGCAGACTGAGACCCTCTCCCTTTCTCGTGCTTTCTGAACGTTTTGTGGAACTTGACAAGCCTGAAAGAAATTTTGTATAAATTTGTACAATACTGTTAAAATAAAGTTTATAATCTTAGAAATGTTGTGTTACTTTATTCTTGTGCAAATATTCTGAATAAAAGATTTATCAGTTAAATCATTAAAATGTTTCACCATGCTGAGTTTGTGAAGCTTTGTTATTGTATGAATGAACTGTTTGACAAGTAGAGCCACTTTGTGTAAGTTTGAATGGAACTGGTCAGTTTCTAGTTATTGAAATTAAAAGCCGTCATGCCAAACTGTGACAAGTTCAGTACAAAAGAAGTTTTGTATTGATAAAGCAACTAATTTTAAACACAGTCAATGCACTTCTTGCACTCATTTTGAAGTTCAGCCCTGGAGATTGAGAAAACATAATATAAAATTATTAATTTTATATCTTAGTGAACCATCAATATAAGTAAATGTCACCTTGGTTTAATATCTCATCTGAAGAAGGGCAACTTTATTTAGAACTGCACTGAAATATGCTTCAAGTTCAGGAGCACGGCTAGTTTTTTAAAATATTCATCATGGAATGTGAGCTTCACTTGCTGGGTCAGCATATGTTGACATACATAATTACCCTTGAGAAGGTGGTGGTGAGTGCCAACTTGAACCACCATGGTTCATTTAGCGTAGGTACACCTATAGTGGTGTAAATGAAAGAATTCCTGAATATTGACCCATGAACAGTGAAGTAATAGTAATATCCTTCCAAGCCAGGATGGTGTATGTCTTGGGCAGTGACTTGCAGGTGGGTGGTGATCGCATGTATTTGCTGCCTATGTCCTTCTAGAGTGTAGTGGCCATGCATTTGGAAGTTGCTGAGTAAGGAGCCTTGGGTGATTTCTGCAGTGTGTCTTGTAGATAGTACACACTGTAGTATTGAGAGTCAGTGGTGGAAGGTGTGGATGTAGTGCCAATCAAGTGGACTGCTTTGTTATGGATGGTGTGGAGCTTCTTAAGTGTTGTTGGAGCAACAACCATCCAGGCAAGTGGGGAGTATTCCATCAAACTCCTGACTTGTGCCTTATAGATGGTGGACAGGCTTTGTGGAGTCATAAGGTGAGATACTCATACTGCAGGATTCCTAACCTCTGACCTGCTTGTGTAGCCACTATGTTTATATGGCTCTTGTAGTGCAATTTCTGGTCAATGGTAGCCACCAGGTTATCCACAAATCTTTCCCTCAAAGAAATACTACAACTCATTTGTGCTGATTTGAGAGTCCAGTCTTAATACACAATTCAGTATTCATTTAACAAAGCAAATCTAGTGAATGGTGTCAAGAAATAATAAAGTATTGGCTCATTGAGAATCTACCATAGCTGAATGGAATTTCCATGGCTGACTCTTTTTAAGGGGACACAGTGCGTGGAGTGAGTGAGACAATAGTATCCAACTAATTTCAAGATGATGAGATATAATAGATACAGGCCCATCTGTAAGCTCCCACGAAATGAACATGGCCCCTCACTCATTATTAGTCTGAGAGAACTTAGTTCTCTCTCCACTAGTTCACCAAGTATCAATACTTCCTTTAAAAAACTAATGGATGACAATTTCTTAAAGACTACAGATATTTCAGTTACATCATTAAATAGTAGAACAGTTATTTAGACTTAAATAGAGCAGATCCCCAATTGTTCGGATGAGATTATCAAATTTCTACTCGGTTGGGTGCTAAATAGAAAGATGATTATCTGACTGTCTCAGTCAGATTACAATTGCATTAATATAAAATTTACAGAATTTATTTGAGATAAGAGGACAGAAAAAGGATTATTAATGTAGAATAACAGTAAAAACTGAAGTAATGTTTTTGAAATCTTATGATAAGCTGGATTGTAAACCTACTGTATGGAAACAGGCCATTTAGACCATTGGGTCTGCACCAGTCCCCCAAAGAGCATCCCACCCAGACCCAGCCTATCTTTTCTAACCCTGCATTTCCCATGGCTAATCCAGCGAACCTACACATCCCTGGACACTATGGGAAATTTGGCACGGCCAATCTACCTAATCTACACATCTTTGGACTATGCAAGGAAACCACAACACCCAGAGGAAACCCATACAGGCATAGGAGAATGTGCAAACTCCAGACAGACAGTCACCCAAAGCTGGCATTGAACCCAGGTCCCTGGCGCTGTGGGCCACCATGCCACCCCTAGTAGTTCATAAAGCAACCACTGAACTTGTGATATTTGAAGAGAATGAAGATGGTGGACCAGATTTTCTGAGGAGTGGCAATTTCATGTAGTTGGCAACTCCACAAAAGAGCTTCACATTTCTGGCACAAGATTCTGATCAGGGCCCCTTCGGAACTGTGGAGCTGTACCTCCATGCTGACAGTTCCCTTGTAGTTCAAAACAGTCAGGGGAGGCAAACTATATCCCCTTAGCAGTCAGCTGCTGTGTTGTGGAATATCAAGGTCCAGAATCAGAGACAGCCACTCTAAAATTTCCAGGGCATAGAGGGGAGAGAAAGAGTTCAGATCCAGCAGTGGGGAGCTGAATATGTTGCAAGGGGTGAAAGATAGATTGCAGAATTTGCCTTGCCAGACTCACAACTTCTAATCACAGCTGCTGTATATCTCAGTATAGCAGATTTTATCAAGGTGGAGAGGGTTCAGTTCAGATTTATCAGGATATTGCCAGGTGTAGAAGGTTTGAGTTGTAAAGAAAGGCTGGATAGGCTGAGACGTTTTTCTGCTGGAGCGTAGGATGTTGAGAGGTGACCTGATAGAAGTTTATAAAATAATGAGAGGCGTAGATAGAGTTAATGGTAGTTGTCTTTTCCCTAAGATGGGGAGTTTTAAGACTAGGGGGCACATTTTTAAGGTGAAAGGAGAGAGAGTTAAAAAAGACATAGAGACAATTTTTGTAGACCAACAGTGGTTCACGTGGAATGAACTTCTTGATGAAATGGTCGATGTGGGTACAATTACAACGTTTGAAAGACATTTGGATGGATATATGAATAAGAAAGGTTTGGTGGGATATGGGCCAGGAGCAGGCAAGTGGGACTGGTTTAGTTTGGGATTATGTTCGGCATGGATTGTTTGGACCGAAGGGTCTGTTTCTGTGCTGTATGACGCTATGACTCTGTAAGAAGAGCTAATTAGTCACTTGCAGCGCCAAGCAGTTTCTGAACTTTAAAGAGTACACAGAGTCAATGCATAACCCAAGCAATTTGTTTGAAAGTTTTTTGGAACCAGGCATGACCTTTTTCATGCTTAAGGTCTTTTTAAACACTGTTTTATGTCAATTATTTCTTGTTTCCCAACAATGCATCAATTTCCCAATATCAGGCTAACTGGACCTATTTGACGTGAAGAACGGCAACATACATACTATTTGTATCTTCCATTTATTTCTCCAGGTCAACTTATACATCTTATTACTTCAGGAAATATAGAGGAATATCTTCTCTGAAATGCTGTAACAAGATGGTAATTTGATTTGTACTGATTTTTGAGATACTATACAATTCACTTTTTAGGAAGCCTTTTCTCGTCAGTGTTAATTTAGCTGAAACATTTATGTCTTTTAACATTAATGAATCGGCAGGGGCTAAGTGATTACAAATTATATCCAGTCAAAAAAAGGGCAAGCTGACTAAGTTAAATGTTGATTTCCAATTACAACCTCTCTTGTAAAATATAGCTTACATATTTCACAAAATATTGGGTACAGTCTTGGTGAATGAGACAAACTACATGTCAAGATTTGGATGTTCCACTAAATCTGCTGATGTTTAGAATACCTGTTCCAGAGTCAAGCACTTGAAGATGCTGCTAGCTTACTGTAATTGGTTGAAACATTTGTCCTTGCTACATAGCTACATTTGGGGTGGCATGGTGGCTCTGGGTTAGCACTGCTGCCTTATAGCACCAGGGACCTGGGTTCAATTCTGTCCTTGGGTGACTGCCTGTGTGGCATTTGCACATTCTCCCTGTATCTGTGTGGATTTCCTCCAGGTGCTCTGGTTTCCTCCCACAGTCCAAGGATAGGTGGATTGGCTATGCTAAACTTCCCATTGTGTTCAGGAATGTGTAGGCTAGGTGGGTTAGCTATGGGAAATGCAGGATTAAAAGTTTTGGGTGGCATGCTCTTCAGAGGGTTGGTGTGGTCTTGATGGGCTGGATGGCCTGCTTCCACTGTAGGGATTCTATGATAAACTTTACGTTTGTCCAAAAGTGCTTTGTAGAATGATCTGATGGGTGTGCAGGCAATAACCCTTTCTATAAACCTTTCAGCTATATTAGCTTTGGTGAAATCACATTCCGTTACCTTGCCTGCATTGCCTATAAATTGTTCAATCATTTCATCTGGTCGTTTGCAATATAACATGAGCTCAAATTGTGTAACCTGGAATTGACTTGAACTATAATTTGACCTTCTAACGTCTGCAAAATTCTGACAAGAATACGGAGGATTTGATTCTTCCTAACCCTTTATTGTCCAAACCAAGAAGAGGTTTGACTGTTTTGTTTGACAGCTATCTACTGATGCATGGAATAAAGATTGATTCTTTCTTTCAATAACTTAAATTCTGACCAAATATGAATGAAGTGTCAATCCATGTTCAGGTGTTTGCTTTCCATGTTCCATGCAAATGATGCATCAAAGTTGCTCTACAAATGCAAACTCACACTATAGTCAGAGCTATCTCAGCCACGTCTGTATCTGCAGAACAAAGCTAACTGGTGAAACAATTAAAAAATAAAGTGATTAATACACAAATGTCAAGATTCTAAACAATAATATAAACCTATTTTAACTTTCCTTGTAGCTGATGCGAAAATAATTTTAACAATACCGGTGCCCTGTATACTTTAACTGCACTGATGTTTTGAAATTGAACTGAGGGGAAGATTTCTGAAGTTAAATGATCCAATACTGATTTATAAAAAATGCCTCGTGCCCCAGGGTGAAATAACCAGCCAACATTCATTGTCTTGGTTTACGCACGAATAGTAGCCCCTTAAGGGTGACTGGCCTTGTGGAACCATAATGAAGGGAAGAGTCAAAGATTTTATGAGCAGAAGGG